TAAAAGTACATCTTGGGGCAACTCCTAGCCTAAGCAGCCTGGCTGTTTTACTTAGTTGTCTTGAAAATATGTGCCTTTTTAAACAATGATGGCCATCACATTTTTAAACAATTCTCCACATTCCAGTTGGCCTAATATCCTCGTTAACCTGCTCACCAAGTGGTCCCTCTTCTTCAAGCAAGGCTCTCTCTGAGTCATGCCTCTTATTCAGTCTTGGCTGCCAGTGCCTCGAAGGAGCGGTCACACCACCCAAGGGGCAGTGGTGGAGCCAAGCCACTTTGGAGGCTGCAGCTGAAGCCTGGAAACAAGCAGGGAGCCAAGACAGCCTTCTGAGCAGCCTCATGTGCTTCCTGAAAATGGTGTAGCTTACCCACACTTCATTTTCATGTTTTCTCTTGCTGAAATCCTGGTGTGACCCATTCGTGTGGTCTGCACAGAGCTCAAGACATAACCAGGTGAGAGTCATGAGGGAGTGCATAGCCAAGAGCTTCATGCCTTGCCCAGGTGTGTGTATACGTAGTGCTTGTTATGGAGGGAGGGCCATAGTGCTAATTAGCCAAGGGGCGAGGCTTCATGGACTCCTTAGCCCTTGCCTCCCTCAGTGTACTACCAGGTGCTGGAGAGTGGTCTCCTCTGAACCCTAAGGGCTGTGAGCTCTTAGCCGAGCTCTGATAAGGAAGGGGTCTCCGAACAGCCCAACACAGTGAGGTATGTGACAACTCCAGTGAGGGGGAAAAAAAAGAAGAACTATTTTTAGCAAGGAAGCAGAAGGCAGCCCTGTTTTTTCCACCAGGCATTCTTGCCACATAACTGGGTTACCTGTCACTCATGAAAGGGCTTGTCTTGCTGATGGTCAGCAAGGTTCCAGCCAAGCCCAAGGACTAGACGCAGTCCACTGTGAGCCTCCATGGTAGCACCTAATGTCCTTAACGTAGGTTTCAAAGGCAGGCAGGATCTGCTGTGAAGATATCTGAAGGCTCCCTCCACTGACCAGATAGGGAACTAAGTTCTTACTTTGCATCAGGATTGCTTCAGCAGGCAGTTAAAATTTTTCAGGCATGAGTTAACTGAAACCTCTGGATGGATGAGGTGCTATCCTGACTTACCAGTGATTTAGGTAAGCAGAGACTATTCTCAGGGCCGTTCCCCTGATGTGACCAAAACTTGAAAAGATGGTACAGAAAAAGATCATGAAAAGATCATGGGATCATTAAGCATATAATATGTTAGAATAGTTTTTTACCATTCTTTAATGCAGCTGTATTTAAAAAATTATTTTTAAATGAGATCTTAGCTGGTGTAAGAAACAGTCTGAGCAATAAGAGTTTGCAGAACAATGCCTAAATCACTGATGATCCCTGTGTTTCTGTGGGCAGTTTAAAAAGCATGTGGCATTTGAAGTAGCCAAGGTGGACCTTTCTGAACATGGAAAGTGTGGAATGAAGGAGTTCAGTACAGTTGGTGCTGTCCTGTCCTAACTTCTGTTGATCTTCCCTTAAGACTCACAATAAGAGAGTTGTGAAATACATCCTTCAAAGGCATTTTTATATAGTCACTAAAACCAATTTAATATCAGGGGAAATATCTTGATCAAGAACAGTGAAATTTGAGCTTCCTAATTTTAATTTTTTTCTCACCATCACTTCCCACGTTATACTTTACCTTCTCAGACAGATGCATATTTCTTGGTGAAAGATAAGCACACAGATGTATCTCTAAATTTCAGGAAAAATAAAGCTTCTACTTTCAGAGCAGTCCTCAGAGTGCTGTAATAAAGTATGAGACTTGGCTGACAACTGATTTTTAAAGTAGTCCTAATTTAAACAAAGTTATCAACATGACCAACTTGTACAAACGTGGACCCATCAAAGCCATGTTGTCCATGCATTCAGGTTCTTAAATGGCAAACAGATGGCACGTTCAGCCGCAGTCTTGGGGGTCTGTCTGACCCTCATGTGGATGTCTCTCATGGTATGGACACAGAGTTGCTCAGCTTCCCTGAGCATTTTGGCTGTACTGGGCCCATCTGTTGTCATGGTCTGGACTGGGAACCAGCCACTAAAACTCTGGCCTCGCTCCTGGCTCCCAGTAGCAGGGCCAGATTGCCTGGCAGGCAGTGAGCAGCAGAGACACTACCATGGGTCCACTGCCTGTTTTGTCTCTGGCTGGTCCTTGTCCTCCAGCAGGAAGACCCCATGGGGTGGCTGCTGCCCCTCGGGTAGGGAGACCCTGCAAGTAGCAGAGCCACCCATCCCCATGCAGCAGCAGTAGGGTCTCTCCATCCTTTACTCTTCTCTTCATCCCCAGGGTTGCAAAACCTGGGTTTTCCAAGGCTCCTGGAAAGCTGTGAGCTGGTCCTGCGGAAAGGTGTAGCTCTAAGACTGATGTCCCGGACTCCTTCGCCAGCGAGCTACCCATGGCCTACTGGAGGATTTTTCTTTTCATCATGAGGGATCTCCATCACGCCATCTGCTGTGACTCCATCCCTGTCTCAGGATTTGGACCCTTTGCTTTAATGTCAGGATGTTGTTCCCATTGCATATGATAGCAGCCAGGCAACACAATCTGGAAATCCTGCAGGCAGCTCCCTGAGCAGTGGGGATGCTTTGGAGGCCTCCAAGCATGTCCTTGCCAATCTAAACAAAGACGGTTGTTTTATCTGGATTTTTAAGTGTTTAATTAAAAGGTGGTTCAACAATACACTCACGATTTTTTGAGTTGGAAGTACACATGAAGTAGATAGCAAGCATCTGTAGATGTATTTCCAGTGAAAGGCAAACTATTATTCTTATAGTCAGTATGTAGGTGTGCCTGCCATAACTTTCTAAAATAGCGGGTGACTAACCTTTTCCAAGAGTTCAGTTTTTCTAACCTTTCCATGAGTTTTTATTTTTTAAGAGACACAGACTTACAGTGCTTATTTCCCAAATGATCACAAGGCTTATGATGCCACTGCTCAGGCCTCAAACATTAGTAATATAATCTTGTGCTTATAAACTGCCACCAAGATACCCATAACACGGGAGTCTGGCAAGTAGGCTCCCATTGCACAGCACCCATTAATGCGCCACAAAATGGATATGCAGAATATTTGCTATAAAACCTGAAAACACACCCATTTTGTCTGAAAAAGAGACAAAAGAACAGCAAAAAAGAGGGATACAGTTGGAGGTCTGAGCTGTCTGGGGTCCCTGCAGTAAACACTGCCTGCTGTGGAGAGCCACTCGTAAATGTCAGTGCGGATTCTCCAGACCAGTTCTTCAGCTGGTGTTGCAAAAAAATGGAGTCATGCCATTAGGCAGCAGATGTAGTTAGGGGCCCAGGGTACAGTGTGGGAAGCCTCTAAATCTAGAACAGAAAGAAAACATCCTGCCCTTTGTAAACAGCCAGGATGGACTGCAATCACAAATTAACAAGCTACCGTACACTCCATTCTAAAGTGAGGAATAATGGAAGTTATTAATTATTCACTTTATTTACTAATAATGATACAGTATGTATTAATAGCAAGGGGGAATGGTATTTCAACATACGATTCAGTATGAAAATACATCTCAGGCTGAGATTATGCTTCATAATCTGATTGCAACAAAATATAATTTCTGGGTATCGGTATTCTCCCTTAGAGGCGTCTTTTAGACTTCATTTTCAATTTTGGCCACAGAGTTGTCAAAGAATTGAGCATGGTTGCAATCTCTGGGCAAAAGAAGCTCATGAAAATAATGGCAAGGCACTGTTAAAGAAGGGCTGCAAGTATTTTAGTGTAACTGTCTGGAAAAGAAGATACACAGCACCTGTCCACTTTGAACTTAGGCTAAGCATTGCTATTCGGTCCTATGTTTTCATGATTGTCAGATTTCACAAAAGAAAATTTTAAAACAAAATGCCTAGCATATTTTAACATTGTGTGTAGGAGGTCTGATAGGGGTGTCAGGCACTAAAAATGCAAACGCAAATGCAAACTACAGTGTCAATCTGAATTGCCATGCTAGGCCAAGCTTATTTTATTACATACATTCTGCATTCTAAGTACTAATATGTTCATAATGTAAACATTAAGCATACAGAGTTAAAGTTCAAGGCCACAATATTTTTGATTGTCCCTTTTTTGTGTCTTTGGTTGGCCGAGATCAACTCGTAGTGTATAAATGCATAAGTTATATAATAATTATATAAAAAGGAAAAAATAACATTGACTTGTATACTTCATTCTGACAAACGCACAGCGTTCGCGACTCGATAAAGAAAAACTGGCGCCCGCCTAACAAAAATACTTAGATGATTTCTGATTTTGGCAGTCAGGGGTTGTCTCTTGCTTTAACCAATAGAAAACAAACTCCCTTAATAATGATGAGGTTCTAACTGGTAACTTTTAAATATCAAACACAATTCCAGTTTTACTTTTTTTTTAAAAGAGATGCATATTCTGATTTCTGAATTCTTCTGCTTTTCCCTTTTTCCACTTTTCTTATTACTATAAAATCAAGTCCGTTCCTCCTGTAATACTGGGAATGGTATGATACTGAGCAATATGTTTCACAAGTCCAAACAAGTGTTTCTTCACAGTCCCAACGCTACAAAATTTTCAGTCTTTTCAGTCTCTACCGGTAAAGAAGTTTCTTTTCTCCCATCCTCACCGCCTTTGTCCTCCTCTTTCTCCTTTCTGCTTCCTCTGTCAGGAGCAGGCCTCTGACCTACAATCATACACTTGCCCTTCAGCACATTCTCATTTCCAATGTTTGGCTCAGGGTTCCTGTAATACTGTCAAGGAATCTTGAAGTTTGGGTTGTCTTCACAGTTTGAGTAGACGATAACACTCCGATGAATGGAACGCATTTGACTTTAACCAAAACAGTGTTGTTATATTCCAAATCATTTTCCACACTAAACCACTCTCTTTTGTTGATATGTTTTGATTTTTAAAATACAGGTAGGGTTTTTTTTCTGCCCCCCCACCCCCCCCC